CCCCAAAACCCCAAAACCCCAAAACCCCAAAACCCCTTATGATGTTGTCAACCTTGAAGTTATTATTTTTATGATGAATCTATCAAAAGCCCAGATGCTTGGATATGCAGCTTGAAATTGTCAGAACTGACTCCAACGACAGAGGATGTTGCTCAACAGAAGGATGTGAGCCTACCCATCTTATAACTTCCAGTATTACCCTCTCTTCAGGACTCAGGTGCCTGGGGAGGCTAGGGTCATGCCTTTGGAGATGCTTGGTGCTAATACTGGCTATTTTCAGAATTCTAACTGAAATCTTGACTCTTTCAATGCCAATCAGTTCAAATAAGGACATCAGTATGCTATGTAGTTGTGATTTTGTAGATGAGCTTTGCCAAGGATATTTCCGAGCCAACCAGAATGGTCAACAAAGGGTAAGCTATCATTTTTAGCTGAGTTAACTCATTTTTAGTGCATTTTGGTATCAGAAGGAGATAACAATGACAATAGTTTTCATGCTGCCAAGCCTGACTTTGGAGATTTGTCTCCTATAAGATTCCAGAATGGTATGTCTCCATTCCTTTCTGAGTCTCAATATTTAGAAACTATGGAGGATGACAGGATTTTGACTCAAAGTAAGTGCCTATTTTTCAGTATGTTCTGATCTGACTAAATTCAGAAGCCAAGGTTTTCAATGAGCTGATATTAACAGAAGAGAGGGATCTCTCTGGGACCCCTCTTGCTAGTACTAATACCAAGCATGATCGATACGGTAAGCTACTGTCGCCATTATCTAGTAACCCAGTTTGCTACTTGATCGGATAGCAAATAAGAATGTTAGTAAGATTTCTTGGAATAATCAGTAGCCAACGAAGAAAACTCAAGAGATATCTTAGTTAAGTAAGCTTTGGCAGCGACTCCCACAGACATGCTTCAAAATCTATTGAGGGAAAGAACATTGAAGAATACCTTGACAATATCCATGCCAGACCAGAGTCAGCCAATAGTTAAATTCTATAGGTTTAGGTCCAGAAGAACAAAGCATGGCAAGCACTACAGTCCTTGCACCAAGCAGAGGGCTATCACCTTAGCACAGGAGAACGGGATTCAGGAGGCATCTACAGCACTAAGCATTCCAGTAATTTTCCAGACTTATTACTTCTAGGTGAATTCCATCAGAAGGTGGATGGAAGGTAACCAACTTTGAGTACTTCAAGTAGGATCGATTCGTAAATAAGGGTGGTGGCAGAAGAGTCAGAGACCCTCTGATGGAGATCAAACTCCATGAATGGCTTGATTATCAGAAAAAGTGAGGATTCAAGATCAAGCCTCATCATATTAGAATCAAAGCACTTGAATTAACGAGAAAATAAGGGATTCAAAGCTTCTAAGGGTTGGTATGAGAAGCTAAAGGCTAGGTCTAATTTGGATATCGATTCTTCAAGGTAATTTCCCCAGTAATTTCTGTTTAGCACTGAATCCTGTAAAATCACTATCCCCATCAGTATGCTAGAGTCCAAGTCTGAGTTGAGAAAGATCTTGAGTGAGTCAAGGAAAAAGTCTTAGTAAATTCTGTTCAATTGTAAGCAAAAGGGTTGGGGTTTTGGGGTTTTGGGGTTTTGGGGTTTTGGGG